GAAAAAATTAAAATAAGTGTAAGTAAAAATGTCCAAATTTGTCCAATCTGATTTTTTGCATCTGACAGTAATACAAGTTTTAGGTAAAATACAGTGAAATAAAAAATTCGGCGAGTTTGGATATCAGAGTGCTTTTTGTAGTAAGTACCTGCTATGAGAGTTCATTCCTGCAGTCGCCTCTGCGCACATTGTTGTAAGAGGATACAATACTTACAGGCAGTTGATACAAGTAGTGTGCGCATGGTTACACAACTTTATGATAGAGAAGACGTGTGTGCTTCTACATATATTTGTGTGTTGTACATATGTGTTTATATATTTATATTTAAATCTGGAACACTGGTTCAATACACATTAAACCCGAACAGGCGAATTTGGATATCAGAGCGCTTTTTGTTTAAGTACCTACAATGAAGTTTCCAAGAAAAGCTATTATGAGCCTGCTGCAGCGATCGTGTTTTAACTTGCATTGCCGTGTTTAAACCGGTTTGAAGAGTGTCGTATATAAAAGGGAATGACTTCAGTGAATTATGTCATATATTTGAGTGTTGAAAGAGCTCACAAGTGGTAAGCATCTAATATTTCCAAACTTTGATATTTATTTAAGCCCTATATTTTAATCGCTATACACTCAGAAAACGACTTAATTAAATTAGTTTGGACGTTCAGATCACAGAAGAGTTGGCATCCGTTTGCAGCATGCACGGAACAACATCTGGAGAAGACATTTTCATGGAAGTGCAAAAAACTTTGCAAGGCTATAACCTTCAGTGGAATCAGCTTCGATGTGTTACAGCTGATGGAGGAAAAAACATGGCTGGAGTGAGGAAGGGTCTGATGGAGCAGATACAAACTAAGTTGGAAGATCTTCAACTCCCGGGCGCTCTGTTTATACACTGCATTATACATCAGCAAGCACTCTGTAGGAAAGACTTAGATATTTCTTGCGTACTGAAACCAGTCGTTTCTGCAGTGAACTTCATTCAGGGTAATCACCGCCAGTTCCAGGCTTTTCTTGAAGAAATTGATTCTGAATTCTGTGACTTGCCTTATCACACAGCAGTGAGGTGGCTCAGATGCGGTAAAGTCCTGTTTCGTTTTTATAAGCTCCAAAGAGAAATAGATATTTTTCTCACCAAAAAGGATAGAGCTGATCCACTTCTGTCAGATCCTACTTGGCTGTCAAAGTTGTCCTTTTTGGTTTACATCACATCTCACATGAATGAATTGAACTTGAAACTTCAGGGAAAGGATAACCTTATCTGTGATCTCTACAGAATCATCAAAGGATTTCGGAGAAGCACAACTGGGAGGAGGAAACTTCTCTCATTTTCAGTGTTTCAAAGAGTTTCGCGCTGGAATCACAGAAGATGTCAACCTCAAGTTTCCGAAGAAGATTATTAGTGACTTAAATATGCATTTTTTGAAGAGAGTTTCAGGTCTCGACGGAATTGAGAGTGACATTCTTCTGTTCCAGAATCCGTTTGATTGTT